GGTTTGGGGAGGGGGGGGCAGTCATCAATTATCAGCTTCTCAGCTTCTTTGAAATGATCTTGGGATGAGCACTGAGTAAGTGTGTGTGTATGTCTGGAAAAAGGGGGAGAGGCATATGTACAGACAGACAGGCAGACAAACAGACAGTCAAACTGAGAGACAGGCAGATAGATGGGCGTATGGACGGAAGGACGAGCATACAAACAGACATGCAGGCAGACCGGTAGATAGGCAATCATACAGACAAGAGGAGCATAAATAGTTTTTTGGGTTGTTGTTTTTTATGAAAATAAGCTCCCTGTTCAATCTCATCTGCACTTGCTGCCCTCACATAGCCAAAACCTGTCTGTCCATTGTAATCTCGTGAAACGAAATTTCCACGGAGTTAATGACATGAAAGCTGGCTCGTGCCAGGCGAGCTTCCGGTCCAAAAACATGAGCTTCCGGGTCACTCACAGTTATACCGCTTCCTTTTCATAAGCTATCGAACTTTGAAGGTTTCGAACAACACATAAAAACGATTTTGTTGAAAGGAAATTTCAGTGAAAGTGGCTAATCGAAAACAGCCATTCGATTGACATTATCATGTTTTGTTGTTGTTGTTTTGTTTTGTTTTGTTTTGTTTGTATCCCTAAGAATGCTGCCAGCGTTAAGGAGTGGATGGTTGGCGGGTGCTCTGGTGTGCTTTGCTTCTTCTTTCCTCTCAAACATCTATCGTCCTTATCTTTCCTTCTTCGTTTTTATGTGTGTTACTCTCTTGTAACACCCTTAATCTTCTGGCGCTCACAATGTTTTGACCTTATGCAGTTGCGAGCGCCGTAAAACCTCTACTAAAACTAACTAAAGGCGTAATGGTTGCAGCTGTATGAACTGATCTCCTCACTGAGTGATGACGTTTTTCACATATAGTGCTTTCAAAGCGTCTGCAAGAAGTGGGGGGCGTTTCCCCACAAGTGCTTCTCAATCAATATATGGCGGCTCGCAAGCATTGTCGACGGGCTTCTTGTACTCTTATACGGGGTGCCCACTACAGCTGGATCGGGCCGATCGCCCGACTCGATCGCCTGAAACTGAAAACAAACACGTTTGTTTTTGAAGC